TCTCATCCTGGGATTAGCTTTCTGGAAGTATTTATTCATTCAAAGTCAAAGTGCCCATTGTAGTGACACTCGTCTTCATTGGTATCCACGAGCCGATGGCAAGTGGAAGTGACCACGTTTTCCATGGTGGAGCCCGGTATCTCTACACAACAACCAGTGCCGAATTCCCACAAAGTTGTACTGTACTCCGTTGAGGCCCTAGGATGCACGACGAGGACGTCAACCCTCAACCAGGATCCAAACTCGCGGAACCTTCCCGTCTGCAGGCCGCCGCTGGGCTGTCCGGTCACGGCGACCCGCCCCCCCCCGCCCACCACGTCCCGTGAGCACGAATGGCGAAGTCGGCAACGGGCCAGTTTCGATTAGAAGGCGCCAACGCGCACTGTCCGCCGTCGGCCCCTTGGCGTGGAGGCGGCCACGACGGAGGCACCGGCGGGGCGCCGCCACCGGCGGCTCTGGGGCGCGCACCGCAAAGCCACGCGGTCGCCGGTGGGCGGGGGGGGGGGGGGGGGCGCACTCGCTGCGAGCGGGGGAGGGAGCGGCGCCTTGGCTCCGCTTCCTCCCCTCCCGGCGCTGAGCTGAGCTCATGTCAGGTGCACACAGTTTTATGGGCGCTTTTGAAGACCGCACCAATCCCCTACACGGTAAACCAAAAATAATAATAATAATGATGATGATGATCTAATGAAATGTGTATAAAGTGGCGTGCGAGTCTGGGTGGCGTGTTGTCGGGCCGCCGCGTAAGCGGTGCTGATTGGGTGGGGGTGGTGCTCGCCGCGGCCGTGTGGGAAATCGAGCCTCTTAATGTCGGGGTCACGGTGGGAGGCGGAGGAATACGAAGAAGGCGCGGGGAGCGTTGGTGGCTTTTTATCTTTGTGGGAATGCGTGGAGGAGGGAATGGTGCAAGGATGTTATGATGGTCAGCGGGCCACTGATACTCTGTGCAGGGCATGTGTGTGCGCGTGCGTGGGTTATGTTACTTGAAGGCCAGGTGAAAGTGTGTCTTTATAAGTACTGATATTTAGTACATGCTGTGTATGTGGGGAGCGGAGGCACAGTGGTTAGCGCGCAGTGCTTCAAACCTGGCAGCACGAGTTCGATTCCCGCTCACGGTCAACACCGGTGACGATTATTTGAACTGGTTCTGGGCCTCCCCTAGGTTGACTCGGCCTCAAATGTACTTGGTGCGTTGTGTAAACATCGCCACTGGGGAGACAAAGATGGTCTGGCATGGTGTTGGCTACCCACCGTTCATAGGTGCTCGCTAACAGCACTTGCCCTAAATGTCTGTTCAGGCTATACCTGTGTGGGGGGGGGTTCTTTATCTCTTGTGTGTATTCCGATTCTACACAAAAATCTGGAGTAGTGCCTTAATGCACTTTTTTAGGTGCAAGTGCTGTTAATGGGCACCTATGAAGGTGAGCACGGCACACGAGGGGGTGGGTGGCCTGCGCACCCACGCTGGCAGATTATGGGAGGGAGAAGCATTTTGGTGACAGTGTTTGACTTGGGATCATAAGGTCACGGGTTTAAATACCGGTTCGGAATCGACTTAGTCCATCGGTATCATTATTATTATTTCTTTGAAGAAGCTAAAACAATGAACCTTTGTTCTGAATCGGTCATCCCGTGGAGAGACTGGCACCCACCGCAGGAGTGTGGAATTACCGCCGCTGGCTCAGGACCGGCATCATAGATGGCGACGGGCACCACGCTCAGTTTGACCACGGGGAGGAATTTTTCTCAGTTATAAAGGTTTTTGGGTTAGATCGCGTAAATGTAAACGTGTCATTAAACCCGCCACCACCCGATACACAGCCAATTGGCAAGGTTTGTCACGTGAACGAAACAATTCGTGTATATAATCTTAGTTCTTTCGGTAAAGTCACGTTGAAGGGAAACAACAAAATAATAAAATATCAACGTGACTTTACCGAAAGAACTAAGAATATGAATTACTGCAGTCACGAAGGCTTTAAATCAAAATTCGTGTATACTTTAGAACACCGGTGTGTTGGAGAGTTAAATCCACGACATTTACAATTCGAGTACCGTGACGTTTCGCCAGTAATTACAACCAGCGTCATGAGGCGACAGCCAGAGTTTTATGCGATCTGGGAAAATAGATTATCAAGCGGCCGCTCTGAGGTATAGCGATGACCGCATTAGAGAGAGAAAGCTACGGGAGGACCACCAAGCACGCCCGGAGTGTCGGTGCCACGGCCCCCCACGCACGCCGTAATCGAGGAGGGCATTAGGGCATTGTACTCTGCAGCCACGCTCCCCCCCCCCCCCCGGCGTGCGTGTTCTCAGCGGCGATCGGTCTCACCGCGATAAACGTCGCCCAGAAATGCGAGCGGCCAGACCTCTGGCTCGGGTCGTGTTTTTTTTTGTCCTAATTTTAATTTCCAGGGGGCCCACTTTTCCCGTATTATTACTATTATAATCGGGGTTTTTTTTTTGTTTGCACGATTTCGAACAAAGCTGACTTTTTTTTGCCATTTTTCCAGCCCCCCCCCCCCTCTCCCCTCCCCTCCCTACCTCCCACCCCCCCCCCCCGTGTTGCGCCGGGGTAATAAGCGAGCGCCGGCTCGCAGGGGACGCGGGAAGACCGCTCGCCGTCGTTCCCTTTGTAACCGGATCCACGCGCGCTGCCCACAAGGGCAGCCGTGTGCTCGCGCGGCGCTCTGAGTGTGCCCCATTCAGCGCGCTCGGCCTGCCGGGGCACTTAATTTAATAGCGGCAACTTAATTAAAGGTTTGCCTTCGCAGGCCGCCCCATTAGCAGCGTCCGATCTAAGGAGAACATTCATGGAGGTGGCTGGGTGGCTTTGGTGGTGGGGGGGGTGGGCAGGGGGGAGGGTTGAGGAGGAAGAGGGGGGGGGCGGGTGTAGGGGCCGGGGTTACCTGGATGAGAGACCGGGGGGGCGGCTGGCACGGCACCGAATTGGCGGATGTGGCGCGCCAGTGGTTCAGCTCGGCGGCGCGTGGGGTTGCGCCTCCGGGCTCGTGCATCGAGAGGCGATGATGGTCTTCAGTGTGGCCGCAGGTGATTGCTCGGTTTTGGTAGCGAGTCGTCGGTCGGTCGTCCGGTACGGATTCTTTACGCTTGCGCAAATAACAGCATGTATGTAATAGGAATTATTTGTCGCAATTTGTGCGCATTTCCCGCAAATTGTTACGTTTAGTCGAACGGAGCGAACAAAACTGTACAAAGGAGAGACGGCGGCGAGAAACGATGAAATCGAGATGGCACCAATGGGACGAAAAATGATGCATTCTTAAGTGAAATTACTTCTTGAGTAAAATTACTTCTTGAGTAAAATTACTTCTTGAGTAAAATTACTTCTTTGTATCGTGGCAATGAATGGAATCGGTGAGCGGAGAAATCTCTCCATCGCCAGGGACGACGGCTTGTTTTATTACAAGATGATTCGCGTCTTTGTGGAGAATGTCACTAAATAAATAAGCAGACTTTACCACTCTGCGTATATCTGTTCCTCCACGTAAGAAACGCATTTTTTTACACATTCCATGAGCCACACACTCTTCTGGGAGTGTGTGGCTGCATTGGTTCAACCGGTTTCGACCGAAAGTGTCTCATCAGCAGTCAGCCTTCCTTGAACCAGTGCTGGTGAACTGCCAGATGTTTATAGGGAAGGACCTATAATGAAGCTTTTGCCCCAGGGCTAAGATGACCAGCTAAGTACTTTTCTGTATGTACACATTGACCGAGTTGGACGAGTAGTTTGTCTCCTGAGCCGTACATGTGTTTGTGTGTTAGTGTAAGTGTAACTGTCAGCACAGGTGTGTTAGTGTGTTATTGTGTGTAACTGTGTGGAGAGCAATAGTGCAGTGGCTCTAGCGCACTGCGCTACGAAACCAGCGGGCCTAAGGTTCCTGCTCACGAGCAACATCGCTGACAAATATCTCAACCACTCCTGGGCCCCTCCCCCTTGGCCTCCCGAGTCTTCAGTGAGCACCTGCAGTATAAACGTCGCCACTGGGAAGACAAAGATGGCTCGGCGTGGTTCCGGCCACCCCACCCCCCTCGCGTGCCGTAGCGGCCTTCATAGGTGCTGCCCGCTAACAGCACTAGCCCCAAGCAGCCTGCTAACGGGCTGCGGTGGGTGATCTTTGTCCTCGCGTTCCACTGCGCCTGTTTTGGCTTCGCTTCGTACGTCCCCCCTCGCAGCCTCCTAATCGGTGGGGGGGGGGGGCCGAGGCGGCAGGAATCAAAGAGACGACAGACGTAGCGAAGAGCGCAACACACACGTGGCGCTGGTTGTGTGTTTTTTTTGTAACGAGATGGTAAACAAAAAAAAGTATGTATAAATATATTTTTTATCACGTGTCTCTGCCCATTAAAACAATCTCATTTGAGTGTTGGAATATTGGCTCAGTTTTCTTGAAGAGCTTTGTGTGGCTTCAAGCGGAATGCTCGGAGAAATCCCATGCCTCGGAGAGGGGAACACTCGTACTGCTGTGCAAGATTAGGCTGTCATTAAAAACAAAACATCTGCTTGCTGTACTTACCCATCTGCTTTTTTTTTACGTCAGTTATAACATTTGGTCAGATTTATATTCTCCTGTTTCATCCGGTTAGCGCTGCTGCGGTTTGAGCGATTAGCTCACTTGTATGCACGTGTTTGCTTATGCCCCCGACAATCGTTTTGTCTGCTCAGCAATCGCTGGTGTGTGTGTGTGTAGCGGTTAGCGAGCTGCACTCGAAACCCACCCACCCGAGTTCGATTCCCGCTCACGGCCACCAACGCCATTGACGATTATCTGAACCGGTCCTGGGCCCTCCCCTCAGTTGACTCGGCCTCAAATGAGTACCTGGTGCGATGTGTAAAAACGTTGCCACTCGGGATACAAAGGCGGCCGGGCGTGGTGCTGGCCACCCCACCCCCTCATTTGCTGTGAATGCCTTCGTAAGTGCTCGCTAACAGTCTGCTAATGCTATTTGGGCGATCTTTGTCTACGTTTTGCTCATGCCAGGCCTCGCTGGAGAACAAGAGAGCGCCGTCGTTCCACTCCACCAGGATCCGCTACTACGACAAGACGGTCACCTGCCGCAACTGTGACAAGCAAGGCCACCTCTCCAAAAACTGCCCGTCTGCCAGGGTGAGCAGCTCTCAGTCGGGACGCAGCTTGTCGGGGGGGGGGGGGGGGGGGGGGGGGGGGGGGGGGGGGGGTGGGGGGGGGGGGGGGCTCTTGGTTGTCGATATTAAGCACCGAAGATCAGCACCGACGATCGGCACCCCAATGCTTGCCACCAACGCTCTGCACTACCGCTGGGCACACCGATGCTGGGCATCGACACTGGGAATCGACACTGGGCATCGACACTGGGAATCGACACTGGGAATCGACACTGACCACACCGACGCTTGGCACACTGACGTTCGGCACCGATGCTCGACACACTGATGATCGGTATTGACGATCGGACCTAGCGCGGAGCCAGTGGTTGTTGAATCCTCCAATGATATTCTTGGTTCTTTCGGTAAAGTCACGCAGAAGGGAAACAATAAAATAATGAAAATATAAATATTGTTTTATATTTTGTTTCCCTTCTACGTGACTTTACCGAAAGAACCAAGAATATGAATCCCTGCAGTAACGAAAGCTTTAAATCAAAATTCCTCCAATGATGTTGAGGACTCCATCTACCAGGCTGACTGTTTCGTTTCATCCACTCTGTTCAACCACCACCACACTGCAGGTCACAACAACATCTCATCCTCTGACTCACTCACCCACTCACTCACCCACTCACTCACCCACTCACCCATTCACTCACCCACTCACCCACTCACCCACCCACACACTCACTCACCCACTCACCCACTCACTCACCCACCCACTCACTCACCCACCCACTCAGTCACTCACTCACCCACTCACTCACCCACTCACCCACTCACCCACTCACCCACTCACTCACCCACTCACTCACCCACTCACTCACTCACCCACTCACTCACTCACTCACCCACCCACCCACTCACTCACCCACTCACACACTCACTCACCCACCCACCCACCCACTCACTCACCCACTCACTCACCCACTCACACACTCACTCACCCACCCACTCACTCACCCACCCACTCACTCACCCACCCACTCACTCACTCACCCACTCACTCATCCACTGACGCATCACACTGGAGGTCACAACGCTTCTCTTTCTGCTTCTTTCCTCGCACTGCTCCATTAGGAAGTTCCCTTCCATAGTCTATTTTCCAAAGTTATTAGTATCATTACCTTGATCATTTAAGTGTTTTAACAGTTAGTTTTTTGTTTTAGAATATTGCTTCTGTTGATGGGGGTGGGGGGTGGTAGCGGTGAGATCTTGTCGCGATGTTATTGTTTGTGCTGAATATTTAATTATCCTTTATTCATGTTGTGATTCATACCCGTTGTTCGCGCAGTGTTCGTTTTTGCACGGAGAGTTTTATCCCCAGGTCTCCGCTGCGAGTGAGATCTCTGTCTCGGTGGACTTTCCCCAAGTTCAGGTTCATTCGTTGTCGAGAACCAAGCCGTGTACCCAGTCGGAGTCATGTTGCCTGCAACGCCGGCTTCTCTTAAATTATTGTATTAACGTTCAAAGGTCGTTTGAGCTTCTCCCCACTCGAGCAGCACGAGTCATTGGCGGGCTTGAACCAGCGGTGGAAATTCCACATTCACGTGGTCGTGGTGACAGGTTTATCTTCACGAGGAACAATCGTGATTCATCAACCCTGGAGAAACTGATTGGGCTGTGTCCTCCTCCCGGGCGGAATTTGAACTCGCGACTTTCCCACTGTCAACAAATTGCTCGGCAACAGTGCCGCCTGGCAAAACTCTCAACAGCGATATTGGTTGTGGCAGCATTGGCAATTCCACATTACTGTGGACGGTGCCTGTCACGTCTTGCTCGTGCTTGAATCATCCTTGAACATCTTTTAAAACAAAAAAAAACGTAAAGGCCGCAGTCTCTGGCCTGCAGCGAACAGATCTTCTCAGGGAAATAAAACTGAGATGGGTAATAATAATAATACTGCTGCTAGTGAGAGAAGAACACACAACTATAGAACATGGTGCTTAAACTAAATAACCCCTTACACAAGATCTGCGGGCCGCGTGATGGAAGGCAGCACTGTCGGCAGAAAGGTTAGAAGCGCGTACTAAAAATTAATGGTGTAGAAAGCGTTCCCGAACAACACAAACAACTTGGCCCATATGTCAGCCGTATTTTAAAAAAAAAAACAAAAAAAAAGCGCCAAAAAAAATCTAGGGAAATGGGCCCGATTTTAACTGGCTAAGTGCGTCTGCTTAAAATGTTAAGCGCTTCCCCCCCACACCATTTTGTCACGGGCGCCAAACGACAAAAGACAAACGTCCCCGTCGCGGCACAGACGCCACGATCCTAGCGCGTGAGTTTCATCCCCAGACATCCACGACGCCAGTGGCAGGTGCTGTCTGAATCTCGGTCTCGGGCTCCCCCTCCCCCCCAGGTCGACTCGGGGTTAAATGAGTACCTGGTGAGGCGGTTTGGTCAGCGTCTCGTCGGGACTGGGAAGACAAAGGCGGCCGTGTGCCGGGCGTCGGTACCGGCCACTCCTTGCGCTTTGTGTGCAGTGCCGCACATGATAGGCGCTCGCAAACAGAACTTTGCACGGTTTGGTTTAGGAAATGTGTCATCATCTCATTGTCCTAACCGGCCACTCCTTGCGCTTTGTGTGCAGTGCCGCACATGATAGGCGCTCGCAAACAGAACTTTGCACGGTTTGGTTTAGGAAATGTGTCATCATCTCATTGTCCTAACGCTATTCGAACGCATTGCTGTTAAATGTTGAAGCAATATGGGTAATACATTGAGGTCGTTCCGTACAGCAGTTAAATGTAAATGGAGACGATGCATAAATGTGGGGTTCTGGCTTGGCCATCCTTGTCCATGCTTTATGAAGTACGACCCAGGGTCATCAAAGTTCATAGAATGTTACGACTTATGCTCTTAGCAGTCATCATCTCTGGGCACTCAATTGGCAAAGCTCATGTCTACGTGTTGCATTTGGGAGCCTGTTAGTGCACTGTGGCTCAAAGTCAAAGTGTCCGCCTGGCTCAAACGAGCATTGGCCCCTCCAATTCCTCATTCCTAGAGCCGTGGTCACTCTTGCCTTTGAGACAACCGCCGTTGACTACCGGCAGAGCGATGCGCGTGAGCCGTGGTGATGATGACGGACCTGGTCAACCAGCAGCCGGGATTTGAACTTGCGACCTTCCGCTCGCGAGTCGAGTGACCGTGGTGCTCCCCCCACCTCCCCCCACCTCCCCCCCCCCCCACTGCCGCATACGGCGCGACGTCGGTTCGCACTTGAGTTCTCGTGCCCAAACAAAACTTTTTCCGTGGCATTTTGCAATTTCAGCTCGACCCCCCCCCCCCACCTCCCCCAACGCGGTAAATCCCTCGTGGCCCCCCCCCCCCCCCCCCCACACGGCTCGCAGGCCCGGCACCGCCACCCTGGGTGCGCACCTCCAGAAATGTGGCTGCCAGCCGCAGATGAGGACAAATCTTTCTCCCGGCGAACGAGACGCGCGGGGGTTACGGCAAAACTGCGAGCGAGCGGGTCGGCGCGTGCGTGCATTCGGGGGGGGGTGGGGGAGGAGGAAGGGCTTAGGCAGGGCTCGCGAGGCGTGCGAACTTTAGCGGAACGGCAAGGCGAGCCATTGCACCCCATTCTTATTTTTTATTTTCCCCTCTCTCCCTTTCCTTCTCTCTTCCCCCCCCCCCCCCCCCCCCCCCCCCCCCACTCTCACCCCCCCGTTCCCCGCCCCCCTCGCCGTCGCTTATGTTTTAGGAGGCGCGGGGACCTGTCACGCCGGTGATGGATCGTTATGGAGCCTTGCAATTTGCGCGGAGATTTAGACGAGGCTGGCCCCTCTCCCGCCAAGGCGAAAACTTTTTTTTTTTCCCCTCCCTCCCCCTGCTCTTGACGCGGGCAGCCCCGCGCGCGGTATGAAAATCGGCGCCGAGCAGGTTAAATGTGCCCGTTTATGAGGCAGAACCGGAGTACAGCGGCAGAAATGAGGCTGTTAACATTTCAAGGCGGCCGGCAAGATAAATGAAACGCATAGGCAAATCGCCGAGTTTGGGATGATGCCTTCGGCTTTCGTTTTTTTCTTCTTTCCCCCCCCCCCCCCCCCCCTTTCACGCTTACGCACGCGCTCGGTATTATAACACGTGAAATTAAAAATCAGCCAGCTCTGAAACAGCCGCCGTTTAAATGTGCTACGTTGCCGCGGGCCCGCGAACTTCGCCACCGTCAATGGCTGCCTTCGCTCGACACTCTTTCTCCCTCTTTGTTTTACGGCCTATCGCAGCCTTCGCAAACACGCTCGGCGTGCCGGGCCCCCCCCCCCCCCCATGCCGGCCACCCCCCTCCCCCCTCCTCCCTCGGCCCCCCACCCACCGCCCCCCCTCCCCCACCCCTTCTACCACCACGGAGGAGCGGTTCGGCGAGGGACGGAAATCGGCTGCATTTGACACGGCTTGGCGACCGGCGATCGCTGCCGTAGAGGGCTTTTAATTAAAGCGACCAGTGTCCACGATCGAGAGCGGCACGTTAATTGATTTAGATGGAATTGGCGACGAGGATTTTCCTCCGGTGGAGGTGTATTAATTTTAATGTAGCTGTATTAATTGGGGGACATCGTTGAAAGCGAGCACCGTTCACTTTATTGATGTCTTTCAAAGTGACCAGCGTTCGACTTGAGAGGGCCAGTGTTTGCTCTACATACGGACGTGGCCGCTCTTGGATTCCCACAGCGGTATTGTTATGAACTTAGACTCCCATTCACTTTCAGAGAGCTCTGGTGATCCAGATGCAGCCTATTAAAGTGACTATCATTGCCTTTGATAGAGCTCAAATAAATGCACCTGTTTTTCAAAGAGGCCTATCAAAGTATCTGTAATTCGATTTCATATGTTAATATAGGGTTATAATTCACTTATGTAGAGGTATTTTATGTTCAAGTGACCCTCACATTCAAACGTCAAGCTGTATAAATGAAGCAAACGGCCATAATAAAGTAAAGATATGGACCGGTTTCAACTTCACTGAGTCTCATCGGCAAAGGGGTTTCCACCTAAACCGATGCTCTACTCGATATCGGAAAGGCAAGAGCTAGAATCCCCATCGGGATTCAATTATCCCTTTCATCGTTGTCGCTCCGGGGTTCATGGGGTGAGCGGCAACCACATTTCGGAAAGCCAACAGTGGGCACCCAACAAAGACCGCTGCCCCTCCGAGCCTGCCAGCGGAGAAGATCACCGCCCAACACTTGCTTGGGGCTCTTGTTATTGTTTGACTTGCATTCCACTTGTTTTTTTGCACACAGCGTTGATATACGGTGTTTTTTCTGGAAGACTTTGCTGTTTTTTTCCTGGATTTTTCTGTTGCGCATAGTCACTTTAAGATGTTTCTTGTTCATGTTTTTGTTTGTGGCGGTTGCACCCGAGTCAAGAGCCGCAGGGCTCACAGGGTTATACCTAATAAATGAAACTGAAATGAAAATGATGACGCGGAGGATCTTTTGATAACGTTTGCAGGAATCTTGTACTGGATTCGGATTCCCCGTCTCTCCTCGTCGGCACGGTTGTGATCTACGGAGCCCTTCGGCGCTAGGTACACTCACCCTGAGCGTGTCAACCCTGCCCCTCGCAGAAGTTGCCGACCTGCGGGGTCTGTGGGACCAAGGGCCACGTGGTGAACGTCTGCCCGTTCCGGCTGTGCCCCAACTGCCACCGGCCAGGCCACGTCCTCTCCGACTGCATCGAGAAGCCGGGGCACTACAAGCAGTGCCACCGCTGCTGCATGACGGGACACTACGCCGACGTGAGTGGTAGCGTCGCCCGCCTGCTCGCTCCCACACGCTCGCACATGCTCGCACACTCTGGCTCACTCATACAACAACAACAACCGCCATTCACTACTAAGTGGCGGTGACGTCACCACGGCGCTTGTGGCAGGCTATACGCATTTTAACGTGAAGCGTCGAACGCCCGCTGGCAGGAGGTCACGGGACAGACCCAGGTGCCGTGGGTTGACTGACTGAGATGATTGGCAGTGGCACCACCTGTGCCCCCTACTGTGCCATCTTGCTGTGTTTTAGTCACCTGGTGCTCCGCTCGTTGTTGTGAGCTAATATACACACACATACACCCATATGAACCAATACGTACATACACCCATACACACAAACACACACACACACTGACACAAATATGCTCTGACACCACAGCTGTTAATAGCCCGGCTGAGTGAGTACCTGCTTACGAAGGTTAATGGGGATTGATTCCATAACACATTGGCCTACAAGGTGGCCTCGGACTACTGGTGTTGCCGGATTACGTCTTGATACCCCTACTTAGATGGAAGAAATGTAGCATGCTGGGGGGGTTATTGCCACTCGTGCCGACACGATGCCGTAAACCCTGGAACGGCGCACGAGCGACTTGACGACGAGGTGAAGGCCTGGGGAGGCGCTTCGGGTGCGAACTCTCCGTCGCGAAGCACCGTGGAAGAAAATCTTTGTGAGTGTCCACCGGGCGAGCGCTGCCTGGTGCGGAGTGCTTGACTCGCGCTCGGAATGTATCGTGAATGTAAATCGCCGTCCAGGGGTTCGCCTCGGGGCCCACCGCCCCTTTGGAGTTTTATCAAATAAGCACCGATGTTTGGAGAAGTAAAAAAACGTCGTTATCGGGTACTGCATAGGGGACAGGCCCGCTGCCATAGCAATGCCACCACCGGATCGGGGTCGCTAATGTATTGTACCGCCCGGTGCTTTTTTAGCTCTGCGTATCCGCACGCACGCACGCACGCACGCACGCTCTCGTATACCGTACACAGGCAACATTGCTAATCGGAGGTTTCGGGGGATGGACGACAAGCTAAATACGAAGAGCAGTTCTGACGAAAGTTGGTTTCAATCTAGATATAAAAGTGCGAAGCTCCGGCGGCTTCTTCGTTACTGGAAGGAAGACCATTCCAGCAAGGCCGTCCAAGCGCATCTGTCTGTGTGCACTCTTGCCATTGATTGCCATGACCGATGTAAGCAATGGCTGTGATGTCTGTATTTGTTGTTAATTTCCCCCCCCCCACGTTTTCCTGATTGTGCACCGATTCGTGAGACGAATAATCCATCCAGATGTCTCGCAGAGGGGCGAAACCCTTCGTGTTAGAGAACGGCCCACAGAAGCGGATATCGCAGAGCCACCACTGATGTCTCTTCTGTTGACCTCTTTCTGCACGCAATCGGGGGCGGGGGGGGGGGGGGGGAAGGGGCTGCTCTTTCCCCACCCGGTCTGCATACAGGAGTAATGTTTGTCGCGCGACAATCAAACCGATGTTTTTAATTCTCACAGCTGGAGTTTAACCAAATTAAGTGCAGAACCAGATTTAATGTGATTATTTTTTTTGCGCGCAGTCATTGGTGACGGGGGGGGGGGGCGAGAGACCGTGAGGCATAGCTTAAGCGATCCACCACTGGAGCGCGACGTACGCGTTGTTATGCTCGACGCGACCTGCCGTAGCGATCTCTTCCGTCGGCCCAGCACCCCTGTGCCGATAGCACGGTTCTCACTACACTTTTATTTTTTCTTCCAACAAATGCCGCTTTCTTCAACAACAAAAACATTTGTGGCATTAAGGAGCACTTGCAAACACTCATTAAGGGTGTTAGCCAGGCATCCCAAAATCTTGATGCTGTCCTGGCTAAATAATTATTGCTATTATTATTAGCTTTTAAAATCAAGAGACCGAGGTCAAGAGGTCATCATGGCCAATGCCGTTGATGCCACCACTCCTCTCCATCGCTTCTTTCGGCCCGGTCCCGCGGTTTGTGCGAAATTTGGCACCCGGCCGTCAGGGTCCACTGGTACAGTGTCCCACCAAGTGGATTTTGGGCTTCCCTTCCAACGAACGTACACGACCAAGATTAAAATGGATACCTTCTGCATATTGAGAAAGATTAGGTGTGGTCGGTCTGGAGGGTTGGTTGACCATACTTCACCACGCTGGTCATTGTAGGTTGGAGATGACGACGACGATGACGATGTTAATGCATGAGAAAGGAGAAGCAGTGCCCAAGTGGTAAATTCCATCCGATCGGAGACAGCCGTGGCCACAACGTGACTGACAGCGGCGCACAGGCCACGGCGCGCCGATGCCCGCGGCTGTAATAAAGGGAACAGTTTAGTTCTTGGAAGATGAGTAGTTGCGCCAACTTTCGTCAAAGTAAGTTTATTATATTTTTTTTCCTTCTTAACGGAACCCAGCGTGCGAGAGTGACACTCGGGTACGATAGCGCATGCCCCTTCATCTGCGCTCGCACAACGAGACGAGAGAGCGGGCGCGCGCGAGATGCCCGCCCGCATTTGCATGCGCGCCGTGATTGATTGCGGGGAATTTATATTCATGGACGCGTCCGAGAGAGCGCGCGGCTAATTTGTGTACATCTGAAAGTAAAAAGTGAATTTAGCGGCGGCAGCGCCGTTGCCGGTTCGCATCGCGGCGCCGTGCGGTGCGGCAAGGCCCGGCACTCGCGAGCGTTAAGCGGCGCTCGCCAGCTATAAAAATGATTAAAGGAGCGAGGAAGGACGCGGAGGTGTGGACGGGCGGGGGGGGGGAGGAGGGGGTTGAGGCTAGCAGCAGGAGGAAAATGGTGGAGAAATTCTCCACGCGGAGATTCTGGACTATAAAGTGGGGGAGAGGGTGCAAGACGGGGGGGGGGGAGGGCGGGGGGTCGTTTGCCGTGTGCCAGAATGGCTGCAAACGTGGAGGCGGATCTGAATTAAGGGGAGAGAATTTTTAAGAGCCGGTTTTAAGATAGATGCTTTGCTCCTGGCCAAGTTGATTTGAACAGCAGAAGAAAAATAAAACACTACTTGAATAATTGTTCAGATATCCCCAAGCCAAACACTCCAGGAGAGTCTGAATAAGTATTTTTGAGTAAGGAAAACAAATCGCCATCCTCTTTTTTTAAATAACAAGCATGGCACGTGAGTTCCACGTTTGTTGTTTAGGCATTCATCTCTTTGTGCCCCGTTTTGTTTTGCATTTTCACTGTTTATAGTTTTTTTGTCAGGGGCAATCGTTTTTTGTGATCCACATACAGGTAGGACTCCGTTGAGGTCTGGGGATATATAATAATGTCATGATTTCCAATAGATATATACAATTTGAAGGCTAAAAAATAGTTAATTGTGCACACGGATAAAATGAAACTTAATATAATAAAAAAAATTCCTATCGGTAAACAGACTCGTGCTTTCGGCTTCATCCATGAAACACTTTCACAAATGTTGAGGATTTCAATGCTAAAGAATACATCGGAGAGCAGTGACAAGGACAACCTCTCACTGTTAATGTCCCACAAAGTAAGTACAATGACAAGGAAAAACAACAGTGGAATTAACAGAACTGGCAAAGAAAAAAAACTCAATTCCTCTCTCTCTCTCTGAATTCCAGGATGTGAATTGAATAAATAAAGTCAACGTGTGTTTGCTTCTGGCTTACCTCTCAGCCACTCGACGTTATATACACCTGAACAGATGCTTTAATTTTAATAAATGCTTAAGAAAGGGTAAAAAGCGGCAGTGCTTTAGAATCGCGTGCCATTAATTGCGCCGGATTTGCATACATCGGGAATTGCTCATTAATGCCGGTGGAGAAGGCTCAGAGAGAGTGAGAGACGTTGAGAGGGTGAGTGAGAGCGAGAGCGTGCGCGAGAGCGTGTACGCGAGAGTGCGAATCAGTGCACGCCAGAGTGCATGTGAGTGCGCGCGAGAGTGCGTGAGTGAGAGTGCGAGTCAGTGTGCACGAGAGTGTGCGCGAGAGTGCGTGAGTGAGAGTGCACGCGAGAGTGCGTGAGTGCCAGCGTGCACGAGAGTGTGCACGAGAGTGCGTGAGTGCGAGTGCGAGTCAGTGTGCACGAGAGTGTGCACGTGAGTGCGAGTGCGAGTCAGTGTGCACGAGAGTGTGCACGAGAGTGCGTGAGTGTGAGTGCGAGTCAGTGTGCACGAGAGTGTGAGTGCGAGCAGGAGAGTGCGCGCGAGAATGAGCACATTCCTTTCCCCTCCGCCCCAGCTTTGAAAATGATTTTTTTTAATGCAAATACCTTTAACGACCATTAAGCAATAGGAAACACACAATCGTGCTAGGTGGGGGATCTCATTTTCATCTTCCTAATTCGCTCTTTTTTTTTCCCCACCACTCTTTCTCGTTTTTTTTTTAATGCGCCTTATTTGCCCACAGTCAGGCAGGCAGAGCCATTACTGGCGGCCCCTATCAGCCGCCGGAATGGTTTAGAAAAGCATTCAGCCTCGCGATGCCTTCCTTTTACTGATCATTTAAACGCCGCATTAAACCCGCGCTTTCCGAGACTGATAATTATTTTAATGTAATGAAAATATTATGGAAATGAATATTGTAAGATCTGCGGCTTGGTGGTGGCAGTGGTGGGGATTTTTTTTTTCCTCCTTTCTCCCCCGAAGCGCGCGCGGGGGAGTTTTGTTGTTGTTGTTGGCGCGTAATGTCTGGGCCCTCAATGCTGTTCGCGCCACTAATTGGCTATCCCACAATTCCAACCGCGTGCCGCGCTCTGCGACGGCCACGGAGCGGTGGCATCTTTTGCGTGTTTTTTTTGCCGCGACGCTTTTTGGTCTTGTCGAGGCGAGTCTCGGGAAGCCTCGGTCGTTTTGTGTTCGCTCCTCGGGAAAGACGAAATGAACAAAAATTGCGCGCAACCTTAACGCGCGACGAATGCGTTGATTAGCAGACGCAGCGTGCGGCTTTATCGCTGAATACGCGGAGGGAAGCAGTAGGCCCGTGAGCAT